AAGTCACTGATTTGAATGCTCCAGTTTCGTTTTTTTTCCTGTTGAAGTCCACACATCTTCCAGCTGCCAAGGTTGAGCCAGAGATATCTATAAATGAGGCAGGAGCACCAAAGAAGGTGCTGATCCTGTGATGGGTGGAGCCAAAGGCTGACATGGGCGGAGTTTGCGACACAAGCCCTTTATTACTGCGTTCCATCCTGTTCCTTCTTTTGCTGCTCCCCTTCTGCATCACGGTGCAAATGTGAGCCAGAAGAGGTTCAAAAAAAAGAACCCTGGTCTGTGGCTGATGATGCTACAGGCCGTGTGGTATGAGGCCAAGGGCTGCCGGTAATGTTCAGGTCATCATCATCATAATTTATTACACTAGTATGTTGCCTGACTCCCGACAACTCTAAGCAGCTCACAACAATCAAAGAAATTGCGATAGAAGAGAAGATCTGTAGCTCAGGGTTGAACTGTGGAGTCCTTGGTGGTCTCTGAGCGTGGTTGCTAGCTTGTAGATGTTTCATTACCCCACTAGGTAATATCAGTGCAATTAGTAATTGTGAGAGCAGTTAGGGTATTGTTTTCGGCTTGATTGTGGAGAGCGCGTCCATGAACACCAACAAGCAGTCAGAAGACACGATGAAAACTCCTTAATCTCACAGCACATGGACGGATTCAACCGTAGTTTCAACTGGGAAATGGTCAGCATCTTAGACCAAGCTAAATCCGAAAATGAGAGGGAATTCCTGGAAGTTTGGCATTCAGATAAATCAGCCATCAACAGACACATAGAAATAAACCATATTTACACACCATTCAAAAGAGTCAGTAAAAAAGCTAAGAAGGAAACAAAAAGACAGAACAGTCTTCTCCAGCAACCAACGCCCAGATAAGCAGGGATTAAGACCAGGCAAACGATCCAGCAGAAAACAACAGCCTAATCAAGGAACTGCCAAGGAGAAACCCACACCCCCACCAACACTGGCAGGGCAAGCTACTGTATATAAACAGGGAGCAAACCCCACACTTAGATGATGTTACCTAGTTGGATAATGAAATGTCTGCAAGCAAACAACCAAGCTCAGAGAGCACCAGGGACTTCAAATAAATTACAGTAAGTTCAATAAACAATAAAAGATGGCAAGCACGAGGAAGGGAGGGGTCTCACTCTCCCTGGCCAAAGGCCTGGGTGAAGAGCCAGACCTTCATGGGTCTTCTGAACAGCAGAGTGGGGGTTATCCAGATCTCGGGGGCAAACCTCGTTCCAGAGGGCAGGTGCTGCTACAGACAGTGCAAACTTCTGGGTTCCTGATAGATGACATTGTTTAATCGAAGGAACCTGGAGCGTGCCAACCCTGTGGATCGAATTTGCCAGGCAGATGTTATGGGAGGCAGGCCGTCCCTCAAGTATTTATTATTTATTTATTTATTGGACAATGGGGGACTCTGGGCAGCTTACATCAAATTAAAATCATAAATACATGATTAAAAGTTATAAAAGAACCACACTTACAGAGATAAAAAGAGATTAAAGTAATCAGGCCTTAGGCCACGTAGAACTTAATAGGTAACAACCAGCACCTTGAATTGCACCCAGAAGCAAACCAGCAACCAGTGCAGCTCATGAAGCAGAGGTGTTACATGGGCATACCAAGGCATACTACCCGCACCACCACATTCTGGACCAGTTGAAGCTTCTGGGTGGTCTTCAAGGGCAATCCCACGTTGAGTGCATTGCAGTAGTCAAGCCATGAGGTGACAACATAATCGTGTTGCCCTAGTCTTATATGAAAGTGGTTTGATTTGCCATTCCATCAGGTTTTTCCAATATTTCATCTCCTAGATGCCTTGGAATATATCCCCCTGGCCTGGCTCTCATAACTTGTTTTCGTCATGGTTAGATGACTGCATGTGTTCTTTGTGGGGCTGCCCTTGACGAATGTATGGAGGCTGCAGCCAGATTGTTCATTGGAGCACAGCACTAGGGGTGGTATCACCCTGATACTTAAAGATAAGCTTTGCTTGACAATGACTTTCCATGCTTCCTTCCAAGATTGCATTTATACATCATACTAAGCTGTATTGTAAAATTGTTAGCGTTTGGCTTCGCAGGTGGTGCAAACTTGACTACTTATGGCTTATTCAACAAACCAGGATTAAAACAACCATAGCTTACTGCGATGTGGGAACCCAGCCAAACTCTTCGTCCTGGACTTTAACATTCTAAATGTCCAGCTAGATCAGTGTGCTTCACACTTGGCAACTTTAAGATGTGTGGACTTCCAATCCCCAAAATTCCCCCCCCGGGGAATTTCGGGGGTGATAGGCCACCCATTTTAAAATTGCAAAATGGGAAGAAGGTGGGGATAGTGGGTGGTGAG